CCCCAAAACCCCAAAACCCCAAAACCCCAAAACCCCGGATATAGGAATATAATCAAGGATTAATAAATATAAAAATATTGGAATTTATTTTAAATGAAAGGCTCATTCTTCAAGAAAAAGAATCACCCGTATGCGGAATTCAAGGTAATCCGCAAAGAATTAGATGTATGAACAAATTAGTTAAATGATTTTTAGATGATAAATTATTCGAACATGAGTACTGTTGAATAGACTTAAAACACGCTTGATGCCTATCAAACTGTACTAAAATTTATGAAATAAATATATTATAGAAAGATTCGAGGTTCAACTAAAATAAAATGCTTAATTACAGCTAATTTACCAAAAAGAGAGCTCTAATGGTAGCAGATAACAGTAATCTATAGGACTGACTTGGTCAAGCGAAATCTGAGCTCAAGCAAGCAATATTTAAAGTGAACAGATCTGATGTTATTGAGAGTGAATAGCAAATAAATGACACCAATGGGTCTATAACATTTACTACTTATCAATCTTAGCTATTGAGCGCATCAAATGTAATGAATAGAAGGCCAAAGGGATTTGTAGATTTCGATCTATAACTAGCACGACCAGATGTCTAGAAAACAAATGCTCATGATAACAGATTCGAGCCATTCGAGTATTTTCCTCCTACTTCATCTAAGACTAGACACAGCCCTAAAATTATTTTTGATTAGATGGTATCCAGGAATGAAAAATCTTAATAAAACTAGATGAGCGATGGCTTATTTGACCCTTAGAGACACATGAACTTGTATAAACCTAAACCAAGGGGTATATTACATTTTGGAAGAATGCATATTGATAAATCTGAGTCTTAAAATGGGAGAAAATATAAGAGATTTTAGCCCCTTAGCTAGCCTAAAATGACTCTAGATGACAGAATCTAAGAGGAATTGAGGTAATTCAGAGAAGTAAAAGGTCCCATCTTAGATAAACAGTTTCCTAGAATTAATCCTAAAACAAGTGAGCTCCCAGTTCACATGCAAGTAATTAAATTTTAAATCATTCTTCTATTTAGAATATTCATGGAAGACTCTCAATAAATAATCAACTAGGAAGGACTATAGTTGAAATAAACGCTAAAAGTAATTAATTTATGGATCCTCGTAGCACTTTTAACACTAAGAAAGATTTTAGAGCTGGTTCTTTCAGAAAGAGCAGACATAGCTCACTTGATAAGCCAATTAATGAAATTAAGAAAAGAAGTAAAATAGTTTGTTATTAATTTATCTCATAGACTTGACATTTAACTAAATGCTTGCGAAATATGGCTATATTGAGGACGAATCTACTTCAAAGAAATAAAGAATTAGACCATGGCATATAAAGAAGAATAAAAGATCAGACGAAAGCAGTGATGAATCTGATGATTTATGAGTTGGTAAGAAGTGAAATTATGGAATATGATTTTGATTTAATTGAAATGGCTTATCAAGAAATAAACAATGATTTTAATTAAGGTTTATTCCAAATATATAATTGATAAATCAGAGTCGAGCTAATTTCATCTATTATTTTATTATTTTATACCATCATCAAACAAGAGAGGTTATCGAAAAATTAATTACCGATGCTAGTCTCATTTATGATGTTTGCTTGGGACCTATTAGAATTTCCCAAATACTTTTGGCGTATTAGTTACACTTTAATGATCAGTATTCTCATCTCTAATGTAAACAACTTTCCTAGAAAAAGTGGTTATTGCTCTTTCAATTTCAATAAGCTTTTGTTCAAGTTCTCTCTTTTTGTTTTTAAGGGCTTCAGTCTTCATTGAAAGTGGCATTGAGAAAATAAGGTCACTTATCTATCTCTTTTCTAAGTTAAGCTCCTCAAGAGTTTTCACTCTTTCATCCTCTCCCATAAGTCTTGTACCTTCAGGGATGTTTGATTTAGCTTTCTCTTCTTGCTTCTTCTCCTCAGCAATCTTGTGTTCCTCCTTATATTTCTCAATGTAGGCAGGTACCTTTCCGAAATTTTTGTGTTTCTCTATAGGTTGGTGCTCAGACTAGTTATCAGTGTATTCAATCTTATTATACTCACTTTATTCATTTTCCTTGTCTTCAGTGTTCTTATACTCAAAATCCTCTGAGTTATTTTGAGAAGTAGATCTACCAAATGCTACATGAGCTGGTTTATCTTTTCTAGACACAGCTGTTTAAGGTCTTGACACTGCAGTCTATGGTCGAGATTAGTTATCAGTTTGACTCAAAGTTTCTTTGACCTTTGATTAGATATTTTAGAATTTCTTCATTTTCCATGGCTCTCCTTTTCCTTTTGCCTTTTCCTCCTCAAGTTTCTTATTTTCCTCTTCTTTTTACTTTATAAGCTTCAGATTCTCCTTTCTGTGATCCTTTGGCTTCTTTCCCATTAGCTCTAATTGGCCTCTATAGCCATTGACAGGATTTAAAAAGTCTGCAATAGCGGTTCTATCTTGTCTCCCTTTCATAATCATTTTAAATTTAAATTTCAAATTATATTGCTAATAACTTGATTGAAATAATGCATAAAGTAATATATCATTTCAATAGTGAATTATCGCTAAGATTTTTAAACCTCTTTGCACAAATGATTAATCATTCGGGGTTTTGGGGTTTTGGGGTTTTGGGG